GTTCGAGTCATGCCGAAGCGCGATTCCTGTCCTTTCACCTACAATGGTCGCAGCGGTGGGGTGCGTAAAAAGCGGGAATGACAAGAGCGAGTTAATGCCAACCTTGTCAACCAACACCGAGTGCAGCGTCTCGAGACTTCAAAGAGAAGAGAGAAGTGATTGGACTTTGGTATGGCCGGGAGGCCAGCCCAGTAAAACAAGTGGTCGCATAAAGCATTAAAACCGCAGTTATTGAAAGGACCAGTTAAAACAATCAGTTTCACAGACCACTCCTTCAGCATCGTACCCATTTACTTCAGCCCCACACGTCCTTACAAACACCTCAGTGCCGCCAAGGTGGGACAGACAAGTGAACAGGTCTGGGGCAATAAAAGTGATACACTTGTGAAGTGAAGGGTGGACAACCGATTGCACCTTTCAAGAGTCAGAATCACCCATCCTATTTGTTGTCAACTTCAGAGCTGATCAGCTTGACATGAAAACTTGAGTCAATGACATACACACACAAACATCCAACGGATTCAGTCTAATCTTTATTTTGAAGGCCTTTCAATAAACTTCCGATAAACCTTCATATTTGACAAAAATAACCTCAAAATGGTATTTAAAAATGTGTAATTTTATCAAAGTAAAAGATGAATAAGCCAACCAGACGGCTCCAAAACTCAAATTTGGCAAAAAACCAAAAACCTTAAGACGCCTTTGGAAATCTACCGTCAGAAACCTTTGCTTGAAAGCAAAGGACCTTCTCAAAGTCATCGCACTTCAAGAATAAAGGCTAAGACTTATTCCTTTCACTTGCATACTGCTTTAATGAATCAGTTTCACAACGCTGTCAACATCATCAGCCAATGCACCGACAATCAAGCGCTTTGAATCAAGAGATTACCGGCAATCAAGTCGAATTTCAACAAGTTCACTGTCCATAAGAGCAGAATAGTGACACACATTCCCCAAATGCATTAAAATTACAACCCATCGACCTACATCAACATCGCAGAAAAACTCTACGTTGCATTCACTTCCATCCGGTGTCTCCGCTGCCTCCTTGGCCCCAGCCACGTGTTCGGCAAGTAGAACGGACTTGAGACACTCCAAACTGTAGAGGAGGCCACAGTGTTGCCGAGCATATCGTGCCTCCTTCATCGCCATCCGCAGATCTCGCAGTCGTGTTGAAGTGGAAGGCAGAGGGGCCCTCGAAGGCAATTGAGAAGAGCTGAAAGAAGAGGATGGGTTGGTACCAACACTTCCAAAACAACTTAGCAATAATACACAAGCATCGCACAATTAA